CACACTCTGGCTCCTGTTCAGCTCCCTGTCCATCCCCACTCCCAGCTCCCTTCCTGCCTGGCTGCTCTCCAGCCCCTCTGTCCCAGCCTGTAGAACTGCCGGGGGTTGTTGTGGCCAAAGGGCAGGACCCGGCCCTTGGCCTGGTTGAACCTCATCCCCTTGGAATCAGCCCATGGATGCAACTTGGGCCAGGTCCCTCTGCAGAGCCCTCCTGCCTTCCAGCAGATCAACGCTCCCCCCCAACTTGGTGTTGTTGTAGACGACGGGAAAAGAATACATGACCACAGAGTTTGATCATGACTTATCCAACTTTATTGCTGCAGGCTTTGTGCTTATAAAGGTTAATAATTAGCCTCATACATATTACAACCGCTAGCTCATCATTGGCTTCTGATTACCTAAGTTATATTTGTGCAAATGCTGTTTCTTTCACATTCTTATGGTTACACATTTCTTTCTCTGATTTGAGGATTTCTTCCTCTTCTTCCAATTAGAGAAAGAGCTAACAGAGGGGGCTTGTGTCCTTGAGGCTGTTTAAATTTGGAGCTGTGGTGTGAGAGCAGGGCTGTAGGGCTGGGCCAGGCTGGAGAATGGCAGTGAGAGCCAGCCAACCTGGGGGACAGTCCAGGAGCCCCAACACTTTCACCACAGCTCCCTTCTCCTATTTTCTTTAATGTTTTTCTAATCATTTGAGAGTCACTAGAAAAGGAGTCTGGGGAGAGGGGGGTAATTCAGACAACACACAGCATAAAGCATCACCCTTTTTCTAGCAGCAGGACAAGACTGGTCCTCAACACAGGCCAGATATTCTGGATTTTGTGGCCAAAAGGACTCATCTTACCCAGCATCTCCTCTCTGAGGCTGGGTGAATAGAAACTGAAATGTTCTTCCAAACTGACCCAGGCACACACAGGCACTCTGCAGATGTTGTTATTTACTTGGTAATGACAAGCACACATTTACAGATGCTTTAGCAAAAAATAACTCACTGCAGCACACTTCTTTAAAGTTAGTAGGGTATTTTTTTAATTCCCTGCTTGTCTTGGTCAGGGGGAATGGTGTTCCATGGGCAATGTTGAACACACAAGCCAGGGTTACGGCTTCCCCTTTAAATCTCAGCTCCAAAACCACCTTCACTTTCCAGTGGTTCGGGAATGCCCTGGAAAAATGTATTTTATTGACCCAGGCAGTGCCCACCTCCCACTGTTCAAGCTCCCTGAACAACCTCACACAAGCGCAACTCAACTTGGAAATGGTGAAAAATACCCTCTGTTTTGTCTCCTAGTTTACACCTACTTTTACAAAGGGAAGGAGTACTGGAAGTTCGATAACCAGAGGCTGAGCGTGGAGCCAGGCTACCCCAGGTCGATCCTGAAGGACTGGATGGGCTGTAACCAGAAGGATGTTGAGCGGAGCAAAGACCGGCGGCTCCCGCACGACGACGTGGACATCATGGTGACCATCAACGACGTGCCCAGCACCGTCAACGCCATCGCAGTGGTGATCCCCTGCATCCTGTCCCTGTGCATCCTCGTCCTGGTGTACACAATCTTCCAGTTCAAAAACAAAGAGGTGCAGCAAAACGTTGTGTACTACAAAAGACCTGTCCAGGAGTGGGTATGACACAGCCTGCTGCACATTGCACCTCGTTGAGCTGATGAGGACTATGGACGTACAAAAAAAAGAGAAAAATGCATTGAAAAGCCTACCAAACAAAACTACTTCAGTGACCTACAAGTTTTGGACAGCCTGGGACCGAAATAAGCAGGAAAACTGGAAAAAATACAGGCAGGCAGCCTTGCAGTGTGGAGCCTCTTTCCTTCGTGCTGCCTCGGTCGCCTGTCGGTCGCGGTGCATCCACAGGCTCGCTCTGCCAGCACCAGAGTCTTCGAGACAGGTTTCAACTGATCTGGGAAACTTCATTCAGTTCCCTGCACCAGTGCCCCCTGTTAAACCCAGCATTCTCCAGTGTAGCTAAACCACCTCTGAACAGAACCATTTTTTTAATAGCTGTCTCATAAACGAATTAAGATCATGAAATCTATGAACGGGAACAATTCAGTGTCATAAGCAGAAGACATTCTGATGCTGAACCATTCTAAAAGATCTTCTTAGTTTATTACAAAATCCAGGGATCTACCTGGATAACAATTTCCAATACCTGCTGGTCAGATGTTTTGTACATTCATAACTAATCAACGCTGCCACTCAGCACAGTGCACAAGGAACCACCGAGCACTCAAAGAGGTACCGGAGTGCGGAGCAGAAGCTCAAGAAGCACCAAACCAGACACTTGGCAACATCAAGCCCTAGACTGGGACAATCTGAAGACAAAGTAATTGGGTCTAAAAAAAAAAAAACAACAACCAATCATAGGAATACATGTTTTTGTTTTGGGAGCCACTTATGAAAGAAATATTTAAATGTCATATAAGTCGGTTTAAGCTCCCAGCAGCAAGAACCAATGAACCAATGGGTACTGAAATACCAGGAATATGTGTAGACTTAGACTGCACTCTGCCCCTGTTAAGACACCGGGAAAAGATGAGTTGTTGTTCTGTGGCATGTGTAACTAGATTGTGGAATTTGTACGTTGGGTTTCAGGAGAATGGAAATGTTTGTTTGGAGTGAGGTCGTCATTATATTTTGCTGAAATAGTCAAGGTACAGTAAGAATTAGGCCTGTTTATAAAACTAAATCCAAGCCCTGTAGATGTTACGAACATTGTATGCCTTCAAAATTTGGGGTTTTTTTTGTTTTGCTCACTTCTTCACAGGCAAATATTTGGCAAGGACCAAAGGGAGCATGCCACACAGTAGAATGAGTTCATCACTAGCCACGTTTGACAGAGCCATAAAAATCAGGTAAAGGCTAGAAAAATACCTTAACTTCCAGCTAGTGAGTTCCCACGAGTCTCTTCCTACAACAGTAGCTTCTGCTTGTCCCTCTTCCAGTCATGAGTGGTTCGGGATGTTCTGTCCTAACCACAAACTTTTGATTTTCCTGTTGATGCTGATATTTCTACCATGTTGAATAAGAGTGGAAGAGCCTCTTGCAGTACAGTGTCATGGCAAAGCCCAGCCCTGTACAGAAGTGCCATCCATGTCAGCACAGGAACTGCTTTGCACGCTCACCGTGATAATCACGGGTGATTAGCCTAAGCCCTCTGCCTATAACTGAATTTTATTCAGTGCAAATGAAGTGCAATGCACAGAATGTCCAGTTAGTATAGAAAAAGTACAGCTTTATAATGTCATCTCTGAAACAAACCCCATGGACAACAAACATGCTAAAACTATTCCTAACTACAGTGAGGAACGAAGCAGCAGAGAGATTGTTAGCATTCTGGATTGCTAATTAGTGCTCAAATATTGCTCTGGTGAAGCAGGATAGACACATAGATACGTCTGGTGAAGCCCACTAGGACTGCATAACGCGTGGTCTCAAACTGTATTTTGTCCTTCATAACTGATTTCCATAGCCAAGCTGTTTATTGTGTTTAAACATAAAATATTACCAACATATTACAAAATAAGTGAGAAGCAAGTAGATGAGAAACTTCGAGTTGTAGTGAAACCTGTGCTAACGTCTCATGATGGGTGAAGGAGTGCAAAGGACCAAAATCGGAGCTACTAATCAGACACCCCCACGCTACTCCGTGTTGCTCTGTGTACTAGAGGTGTGGTAGGACGCACACCACGGACTCCACAGCCACCTCGGTCTCATCTGTACGCTGCCATCTCTCTGGGGCTGGCACAGCCCAAACCTTTGAGCAACTTCCAACAGCCATCATTAAAAAAAAAAAAAAAAAAAAAAAAAAAGAATTTACAACCGAGAGCGTTGTCTGGGTTCGTTTGTGTCGTTTATATTCTTCTCCTGCCCGAAGGCAGATCTTTGGCCTGTCCAAGGAACAGGCTGTTCAGGCAGCAAAGTGCCCGGGTGGGCACAGGCTGAGCCGTGTCCTCGGACAGCTGCGTGTGCCCCAGGGTGCCAGGCCCTGTTCAGCAAGGTTGAGCTGTGCTGCCAAAACCCAGCCTGCCTGGAGCTGCTGCTGCACAGCCACAGAAACACCACGGGGCCTTTCCTGCCTGCTCTGTACCTGCCTCCTGGGGCACAGCTCTGATTTTCCAGGGCGTGAGGTACTCGTGGAGGTGTGTGGGGAGTGAGAACAGCCCCCTGCAGGTACAGGTGGTGGCACTGGGGGGCAAGGGCAGAGGGGGAGCAGCTGACCCTCTTCCCACAGTACAACCCCATTCACACCATTATCTCTCTTTTGCCAAGATCAGCCCCTGGGCAGTCCTGGGGTGACCCAGACCTGGGCACAAACATATTTGTGTAAGGGGCAGTTCCTTAGTATTCCCACTCTTGCTGGGATCCTGTGTTCTGCTGCAGCAGCTGATCAGTGGGGGGTGGACTCCACTGCCCATCAGCTTGGCCAGAGCTCTCCGTGATCCAGCTCCTGATCCAGCTCCTGTCCCGAAATGCAGCACCAGGACACATTGTCCCCAGAGGGGAGCAGGGAACAGCAGAGCTAATTTAAGCCTCATGAGCAAGAGCCTGTTGTAGGTGTGTTCCTGTGATCCCATCCTGTATTGTCCAGCCCAGGGACCCTGGCACAGGGGGACCTCAGAGCAGCCAACTACACACACTCACTGCACTGCACTCAATATCCTATTTGGTTTTCCTCCAGTTTTTGACTACTTTGAATAATTTCATCACCATTAAGGCTCATTTTCCCAGGTAAGTTAAAAATTTGCTGGTATATAGGATAACTACTGTCAGAAAAGTTGGTCCTCCACTAAGACACATTAATTATTCCTAACCTGTAATTGGTCATCTCATTCCATGGCTCACTCACCCACAGTCCTAAAAGCCTTTGGCACAAAAACCTGCCAGTGCAGTACAACAGACCTTCATATCCCTGTGGACTCCTTTAAAGAATTGCACAGATCTTTTGAGACACGACTTGCCATTAAAACACCACATTTATGCTCTCATGATCCGTGTTTCTAAATCCATTTTTTATTATAGTTCATTTTTCTTGTATACAGGTCCATCTCACCAATTCAGAATTCCCACAAACCCATGTTTAGAACAGGTACCATGTTTGCCACCTTCCAGTTCCCAAGCTCCCAGAGGTCTCACCCCAGTTGGCAATGCCCTGTCCTGCCCTGACTCCTGGGCATATCACAACCCCCAACACTGCACCGTCTTTCCCACTTAAGGATTTGGATTACACAGAGTGGATTATTCTTCTCATTTACCTCTGAACTGTCTTTAAGACCTAACACAGATCAAGGTCACCAGTGCAAGCCAGGATTCCTGCCTGGAGTAGGAATGAGAAAAAAACAGTGACAGGAGTTGCAGGGGAAAATTTCAGCCTCCCTCGCTTCCCATGTGATGAACACAGGCCAACAGGGATGGGAAGAGTCAGAATCCTGCAATGTCCACCCAGGAGCTGAGCACTGTGAGGTGACCAAAAGGAAGCAGCTTCTCACTCTGAATACTGAGACAGGCTGAGAGGAGGAGACCAGTCATGCCAAGAAAGGTGGTGCTCAGTATCAAAGGGCAGGGTTGCACTGATCAGAGACTATGGCAATCTTTATTCAACAGTTTAAGGAGCAGCCTTTAATCAACTAAAACTTACAAAGCCTTCCCTAAACATCCAGACAGTAGAACAAAAATAGAAGTTTCCTTAATTTTTCACAAAGCCCAAAGCACCAGGGCTGAAAAGAGCTCTGCCCACACAGCCCTCAGGCCAGCACTCCTCAAGAGAACCCTCTTGCTGAGAGCACTCCAGCCATGAGGGAATGGCTTCCTCTTACCTTCAGGATGGGAAATGGAGGCACTTCTATGCCTTCAGCGCACCCTCAGTGGACAAGCAGAAAAGCAAGTGAAATGAGAGATGGGTGAGAAAGAGCTGTTTGGAAGGCAATCACTACTTCCACCCAAAAGTAGCATCCACAGCTCCTTCCCATCATCACTCCCGGGCATGGGCAGAGTTCTGCAGGAGGAAGCTCCCAAATCTGTACCCTCTGACTCAAGTGACTGCTCAGAACCGTATTACAGAACCTTTGTCCCCAAGGTAACTCCAGATGAGGTGGTTCAAATTCAAAATAGGGGTTTGCTGACTTCCAAGGGTTTCCCAGTGCAGGAGGTGAACTCCTGCGGGACAAATTAGGCCCACTGGCCATAGTGTGCCTTTAGGGCTCTCTCCTGTGGCTGCCTCAGGAGCAGCACAGGTGACACCAGATCAAACTCTGCTCCAGGCACTCCCACACTGTTGCTGTTAAAAGCCCTTGGATTAACTCCAACAAACTCCAGGTTTTATCCACATGGTCACTTCAGAATCACCATTCCCATGGGAACAGCTCAGGGCAAAAGAGAAGGTGATGGCTTTTAGATTATTTTGTGGCAAGTAAAATCCTCTATTGTTGGTACTGGACATCCAAGGGGTTCTTTTGTCTACCTATAGCAGGAACACCATCAAGCAGCTGTGTGGAAAGAGATGGCAGTGCATGTAGTGCCAAAATAAACTGCTGTGCTGCAGGACACTGGTGCAAGACTTAAGGCAAAGCATTCTCTAGTGATCAACATCCAAGAGCCATAAGAATAAATACTGTGGGTAACCTGAGGGGCTCAGTCAGCACCACAACACCAGAAAGCGGAGCTGAAGAACTCGAGAACATCAGCAAAGGGACAGAGAGCATTCCTTATTTGTATCTTATGCATGTTATTTGTCAATACTTAAGTTTACAAAACACTACAAAAAGTTGATTTTGCAGCCTCTTCCTTGGGTCAGAAATATCATCAGAAGGTCTGGGTGCCTGTGATCCACAGTGCAGCTCAACACTTCACTCCTTAGGAGCTTTCTGGGAAGTCGGAACCAACGCTGCTCATGTCAGGCTGAAACACAAAACAGAAGGGAGGTTTGGCAGTGCCAGGAGTGCAGAAGGCATTTCAAAACACCAGCACAGTCAGTTCTCACCCTCCAGTTACAAAGGCCCAGTAGAAATTCCCCTTCCTAGAAGAGAAGGGCCTATGGAAAGAGGGAAGCAGATGTTGTGGCTGCTAACAGGCAGCCACAGGAACAAACCTGTCAAGCTGGCAAAGGTAAAATGCACACTCAGCCTGGCCCAGGGAGTGATTAACAGCTCAGAGCAAGCTTAATTATGGTTCTGATATGCTGAGACATCCAGGCTTTGTACCAGAACTGTAAAGGGGCAAAGAACTCTTTCGAAGTCTTCCAAAGTCTAGGAAGTTGTTATGCCATAAACTATTCCCATAAATTCTTATGATACCCGAGAACTCGGCCACTAAGTCACAATGCTCTGGTAGCTCAGGAACACACTTTTAGCCCCACAGCAATAGTCCTCAGAGCTGTAACTAATGAAAGCCCAAATGCAGTTTGCAGAGGACACTGATCTATGTGCATCCTAAACCTTGTGAAAACATTTTCATACATAATGAAAGGGGAAGGTCCTGTATCATTACTACTCCAGGCAGAAAACAAAGTTTGCCTCGCATTAAAAGATAAGATGGACAAAGCCTTTGACAAAAAGGCTTTAAAAAAATTCAGGTTGGCATTTTTAAATTAAAAAGATTTAAGGCAGCAGCAGCAGCTGACAAGCCATAAAGTCTTTCTGGCTCCAGAAATGGTTGTAGCAAGCATTTGAAATAACTTTACGTGGGTTACAACAATCAAAAGCCAAGATGTCACGCAAAGTCACTGGCATTTTAACTTTTAAAACAAGGTTTGTTTAAAAAAAACCCATTCGTGTCATAGCTAAGCACTGAACAGGTAGGGAAGCAAACCTGACAGCTGAAATGGATGTGGCTTCCCACAAAAAGGATTCTCACTGCTTGCACATTCCATCACCCAACTGCTGCCAGTAACCAACAAAAGGAAGGAGGCAGTAAGAAAAGGGTAATTAAAAAAAGATAAATCAACTGCAAAACCATCAACTTTACGATAAAATAATAGTTTATAACAAAATCTGTGCCCAGAGCTGGCTCCCCCTCACCTGTCAATCAGGGAGTCCCTCATGTTGGTGGCGATGGTGCTGGGCTGGGCCTCGTTGAGCTTGAAGATGCTCTCGATGACGGAGAGCTCTGTGCTGGTGGTGTCCAGCCCACAGAAGGCACACCAGTCGTTCACCACCATGCCCGCCGCGATCACCTCGCTGCCGCGGTTCACCGTCCCCGCCTGCGGGCAGGGCACAGCGTCAGCCACACAGCACAGCTCCTCACACACCTCTGCAAAACCTCTACTGGGGGGCTCAGCTCATGCCCCTGAAGGGCTGAAAGCTCCTGCCCATCAGCAAAGCCCAGGTGAAATGGTTAATGAACAGCCTGCAATGTGTGGCGAGAAGGTGGTGTGGCATCCAGGGAAACAGAGTCTGGCCAGGAGGAAGGAGGATGGCACAGCAACAGTGGCTGAGCACATCCAACTGAGCAGGCATGGGGGTTTGTTACTTAATTTTTGTAAACACTAGCTTCAGTCAAACCAGACAACCTCATATTCTGTGTCTGCACCACACACAATCCCAGCAGAAGCAACATTTCAGGAGCAAAGTAAAAGCACTGAGCAGTTTATCCAGACTCAGGGAAGACAGGGAACTGTCTCAGGAGACTTGGCCTGTTCAAGTTTTCCCTCATCTCCCACTTGGAATTGCTCTGCACAGAAACAGCATCCAGGAGCCCATGAGATAGAGCCACACTAGAACTGGGCTGGGAGGGAGTGGGAAAGGCAAACACAAACCCACAAAAGCCTTACCACGAGTGGGACCTGGAGCAGTGAGGACAGTTCATCCTGGTCATCTATTGAAGTTTTGGGGTGTACGAGTCCTCCCTGGTTACTAAAAACACAGTAACTTCCCACCAGCACCTGATCTGCAACCGTTTGCCTGAAAACCTCCACCTTCAGCACATCTGCCAAGATCTCCTCTGTCTCCTGCCAACAGGAAGAGAACAAAGCCTTCAGTAAAACGGCACCGTGGAACTGGAAGTCAAGCTGTTCCTGCACACAGCCCTGTGAGAGCCTCCCACTCTGCACAACCCATTGCAACCCAGCCAAGGTAAAACACAAACCCAACCTCCATATTCTACATGTTCCCAGTGTCACCACAAACACAACCCTGTGCTATTACTGGGAAATGCCCAAATCCCCCCTCTTTCTGCTGGCAGTACATCAGCTGCGTCAATGCCTGTTCTCTGAGCATTCCCAGTCCTCCCAAACCACCATGACAAAGTCATCTTATCCTTCTGCAGAACTCTTAAGAACTTCCTTCCCGTCCAGGTTTCACTGTGAACTATTTTGGTTTCTCTCTGCCCATCTTACCTTACTTTTTGCGCTTATTTAAAACATATTATGCTGCAAAGCCCATTACCCTTATTTTTCTTTTCCACTTGAACTCCTAACACCAAGTCCCATCTCTTCTTTAGCTTTAGCACCAGCTGAAAGCAAACACTGTCATGACCTGTAGCTCCACACACCTCTTTATGCTATTAAGGTATCAGTTCTCAGACATAAAGTAGCAGCAACTTTGTCTCCTTTGCTCTTATTTTAAACTTTCATTATGAAACTTCTTGTTTTTCTTTCATCCCTCTGTAATCACTCACAACCATGGCCTCTTTCAACTGTTACACATTTTGGGTAGCTCAGCTGCAGCTTCCAACTCCTGCTGTGATCCTCAGTGCCCTCCTCTGGGTGCTCTTTATTACCCTCTAATTCACTCAGTTTTACCACCCAAAGCAAACTGCACCCAACGATCATGGAATCACAGGATGCTCTGCGTTGGAGGGGCCTTAAAGTTCATCTCATCCCACTCCCTGGCATGGGCAGGAACACCTTCCACTAGCCCAACCTGGCCTTGGACACTTCCAGGGGTGGGGCAGTCCCAGCTTCTCTGGGCAACCTGTGCCAGGGCCTCTCCACCCTCACAGGGAAGAATTCCTTCCCAATATCCCATCTAACCCTGCCCTCTGTCAATGGGAAGCCATTCCCCCCAGTCCTGTCCCATGATACACACTCACCCCTCTCATCCCCCTTCCCTTCTCCAGGGCTGACCCAGAGGCCACAAGCGCAGCCTGGGCACTGCTTCCCAGCCCCCCCGTGCCCACGGCAGTGCCCCAGGGCCCTGTACCCTGTCCAGGTCCGGGTGCACCAGGGCCACGTAGTCGTTGCAGGTGGTGACGTTGCCCAGGGCCGAGAGCCGCTCCTCCACCCGCTGGATCCGCACCGAGTCCGGGAGGCTGTTCCGGATGTGCTGCAGCTCCTGGTCTGTCGTGCTGCTCGGGACCAGCAGCCCGTGTCTGTTCCCTAAAATGGCAAAAAAAAAAGCAGAATGGAATAAAGAGAATGTTCCTAGGGGTTTCCCGGCACCTCCCCGCTGTTCGCACCCTGCCCTGACTCAGTGTGCTCCTCCCAGGACCCAGCCCAGGAGATTTGTTACCATTTCAAAATAACCTGCACCACGGGAAAGAAAAAACCAGCGTGAGGCACCGGCTGTGGGGGAGCGGCACTATCACAAATCCTTTTCACAACAGGAGTCGAGGAAGCTTGAGGTTCTCAGTGAGACCCTTTGACAAAGAACTCCCCGTGAAGATGCCAAGTGCTCCACGAAAGGTCCGGGTGCTGCTGTTCGTGTGACTGTGGCAGCACCATGGGATGGTTAAAGGAACAAAAACCACTCGGGCATTAGAACAGCCCCCGGGGTCGAGGGACGCGGCCCCGGCCAGGCACGGGACGCTTCCCCGAACTCCCCCGGGACCCTCCCCGTCCCCCCAAGGCTTTCCCCTCACGTACCCACACACATCCTGCCGATGATGCGGCAGCCGGCGATGGACGCGTGCACCACCGGGATGGTCCCGAACAGCTCCCCCTCGAACACGCTGCAAGGACAAAGCGCCGTCAGGGCCCCGCGGAGCCGCGCAGAGCAGCGCCGGGCCGGGCCGGGCAGGGCCATCTCACCTGTAGAAGTTCTCTGAGCCGCCGATGGCCACGAGGCAGTAGGCGTTGGTGAGCTTGGCGAAACAGCCCAGCTCGTTGTTGTTCTCGAAACTGGCGCGGACCGCCATGGCGGGAACGGGTGTGGGAATGGGGCTGGGAACGGGGCCGGGAATGGCGCCGGGAATGGGGCCGGGAACGGGGCCGGCAGTGAGAACGGGGCGGGTGCCGGGCCGGGAACAGAAATGGGGCTAGGCCCTGCTCTGGGGCTGGGGCCGGGAAGGAGCAGAGTCCGCAGTCACTCCTGGCACCGCCGCCGCCGCCGCCGCCGCCTCAGTCGGAACCACGGGGTGCGGCTGCTTCCGCTTCCGGCGGGCGAGGGGCAGAGCGGAGCCCGTCACGCCCGGTGGTCACAGCGCCCCCCAGCGGCCGGGAGGTGCGACCGCCCCAGGCAGGGGAGGGACCGACCCGGGACATCCCTGAAGGGACAAACACCCACCCGGGAGGGACAAACAGCGACCCTGGGAGGGACAAACACCCAAACACCCACCCGGAAGGGACAAACACCCACCCTGGAGGGACCGTCCCGTGGCGGCAGCACCGCCCCAGGCACCCCCCGCCACCCTGTGGGACACGACCCGTCCCCGTGTGCCCCGATCCCACCTCAGGCCGAGCCCGCCCGTGTGTCCCCATGGACGCGGGCCCGGGTACGGCATCGCTGTCCCTGTGCCAGGTGTGCCATGGCTGTCCCTGTCCCTGTGCCAGGTGTGCCATGGCTGTCCCTGTGCCAGCTGTGCCATGGCTGTCCCTGTCCCTGTGCCAGGTGTGCCATGGCTGTCCCTGTGCCAGCTGTGCCATGGCTGTCCCTGTGCCAGCTGTGCCATGGCTGTCCCTGTCCCTGTGCCAGGTGTGCCATGGCTGTCCCTGTCCCTGTGCCAGCTGTGCCATGGCTGTCCCTGTCCCCACTTCCACGGCCACCCCCCATGTGCAGCCCCAGCCCACGCCCAGGTGCTCCCCAGGTGCTGGCACAGTGTCCCTGTCCCAGCAGAAGCCGTGCCCAGGCACCACCCCCGTGCTGACACGGTGGGTGTGTGACAGCAGACGTGTCACCTGAGTGCACACAAGGCCACCTGTGACCCGGTGCCTCTCTTGTGTACAGGAGCACCCTGTGTCAGCTGCCACTGGTATTCAGGTTGACCCAGGAGCAGAGCCCACCTATGTGCTGACACCTTTTCCATGCCAGTGTCAGCCACGGGCAGATGCCAACCATGTGCCAAGACGTGTCCCCTCCCTGCACAGCTCAGTGCTCACCCCCCAACCAGGACCCAACATGGCTCTTTCCAACAGAACAGCTCCTTTATTTTATCATCCCCCTCACTTTGGGCATCTGATTTGCACCAGGCAGGGAGAAGAGTTGCTCAGCACAGAGAGAACCCAGGCTCACCCCGCAGACCTCAGCGGCCAAAGAGTTTCCAGCTGTACAACGGTTTTGCTCCAAGTTTGTAGGGAAACAGTTCTTCCCTAAATGGGTTAAGAGGAGTGGATTATGTTTATGTGCTTTTCCCTCTCCTGCCACGATTATGCCATTGGAAATTTGAACTGTAGTTGCTAACCTCACCTGAATCAGTCATCTGCACAGATTAAACAGGCACCTTTTCACAGCAACAACACTAATTTGCCACCCATATTTGTATTCCAAGCCCCAAGGAAAAGCAAGCATTGGAAAACCAGAGCCGAGGCCCCCTGGAGGCCCAGGTCAGAGTTCGAAGCGGCTGTGTATGTGTTTGGATTTTAGCTTGTTGTACTTGGTGATCAGGTCCAGCTTGCTGTGCCCCAGAGTCATTCTCTTCTCCGCCCCATACGCGCTGTTCTTTTCCATCAGCACGTCCTCCGGGAACTTGTCATAGCAAGGCACTGCAGGCTTTTTATCCCGTCGGAGCTGGTTGTATGGGGAGAACAGGTCAAATTTCCCGTGTCCAGGGCTCTGTCTCTTTTCCACCCCATAAAACACGTCGTTCTCAGCTGGCAGCTCCCTGGGGGTGCCCGCAGGCCCCCTCTGCTTCAGGCTGGTCCCGTTGCTCCCAGCACCCTCCGACAGGGACTGCAGCGGCTGCTCCGGCCTCGGAGGGGAGCAGTGGCTGCTGTTGGCCTTGGAGTCCCCTTGATAACCAGGTTTATTGGAGCTCAGGGCAGGGGAGGGCTCTGGCTGCAGGAATGTCCTTGCTGTCAGGGGGTTTGGTTTGGGAAACAAGGTGGGTTTATTTGGAGGACTGGTCGCTGAGTCTGGTGGTTCTTCTTGCTGCCTAGTGGGCTTCAGGGATGTGTCTTCCTTCCCCTTTTTATTGCCAGAATCAGAGCTGGAGTCTTGCTTTTCCTGCTGTGCACTGCAGCTGGAGTTTTTCATAAAGGGAGACATTTTTATGCTCCTGATGCTCACGTTGGAAAGGCTGCTGGAGGGGCTCAGGGTCTCAGCATCATTCCCCTGAGGGGGTTTTAAAAGGCAGTTGTCAACTTTTGAGGTATTCCAAGAAGAGAGGCACGTCCCAGGATCCGGCACACAGAAGCTGGTCACTGCTCTGGACTCTGCATACAAGTACCGGAATTCCTTGTCAAACTCGGCAACAATTTGGCCACGGAAGTGGGTCACCAGGCCGGTGTGGACCTGGCTGCAAAGCCAGGTGAAACTGCGGGAAAAGAAACAAAACACATGGAACTTCAGTTCACAGAGTGCCAAGATACCCAGCGTGGATTTTAACATTCCAGGGATGGATTGCTCCCCAGTTTGCGTCTTCAGAACTTCCTCTAAGTCTGCAGGTCTGAGATCGCTCGTAGAGATGAATGTGCCCATCTCATGATTACAGAAGAGCAACCCCAAAATTGTCATTTCATTTCAGCTTGGGGGTCCCCTCCTCGCCTTGGAAGGAGCTACATTCTCATGTCCTGACACCTGCAACACATGATGGGCTTGAAGGAGCTGCTTAGGCAGACAGGAGGTAAGGAATGGAGACCCTGGGCACTGCCTGGAGGAGCAGAGGTCTCCAGAGCCCACAGGAATAGCTCAGGGCAGGAAGGCTGATGATGTTTTCCATAAATTTGTGAGATGTATGGTCTTAGAAGTTTGCTCAGCAAGGGCAGTCCCTGCCCTCACAGTACAGTGTTTTGGAATCTCTTCTGGGAGCTTGTCCTTTTCCACCTTAAAACCAATCAGTTTTTGCCCCAGCTGGGGAAAAACTCCATTAATTGCCACTCTTCATATTTTCCTTATCTGTTAAATCCTACCTGTTGTTTGTGCCAAAACTGTAACCTAAATCGTTCTTCCCCCATATAGCTACAGATCATAACCACAGTTCTCCCCCTAATCTTCATTTTCCTGGATTAAACAGGGAAGCTCCTCTTACAGAGCAGGCTCCTCAGGTTCCTAGTCATCCCAGTCACCAGTTGCTTCTTTTTTATTTTTATTCTTGCTATAGTCAAACCAGATCAGCATGTTTAATGTGTCAAATAAACCAGAACCTTCAGAGATGGCAATACAAGCTTAGGGCTGTGTTATCAGCTGCTGAAGTGAGACACTGACTCTAAAGAGGAGGATGAAATGAGAGAAACTCTGGGAGAGCAGTTGTAATGGGAGATTATAATTATTCTCAAGTAAATGTAATTTCAGGACAAGATACTAGCACTGTGTTTTGGGACCTCATCAATGTTTACCTCACAAGACAGCTACTTGGGAACTTCTAGTAAAATGCAGCTGTGGCCTGTCCCTGAGCACTGGGCAGTTGTTATGGGTCACACTGGTGTTTGGTGTGTTTAGAGTCAGCAGACTCACACCCCAAAGAGCAACACAGAATGAAAAAAAATCAATACTCTGCTGCATAATACCAAACCAGGTAAATTAGTTAAGAATTAAGAATCAAAGAAAGAGACTACTCAGAAATACCATACTGGAGGCTCAAAGCAAATGCTTCAAACCTTCACGAAGATATGAGAGGAAAAAAAACCAAACCAGAAACTGGGATGACTAAATGACAGAGGAGAAGCTCTTAAGTCCGGAAAACCCAGCTTTAAAAATGTTGGATCACACATTGCAAAGGGTGAAAGAAATAATATTCAGCTCTCTGTGGGGCACCAGGAGTGCTCAGAGAATTCCTCTGCATGCCTGTTTATTGTGCAGGAGCTTGGGATGATCCCTACCCTGAGCCCCCCTTTATACAGGGCATAAGGGAAGGTCAGTCTCCTGTGGAGATCTCTGTAGAAGAGATGAGAAAACATCAACAGAGCAGAGAGCAGCAACTGGGCAGGACCAGGGAATGTCAACCCCAGGAGTGCCACAGGATGAGACAGCTCAGGTGCCAACCAGGATGTGCCATCTCCCACTTGAAAGGGCCCTGGTTATCAGGAGAGTGGGAGGCTGTTATTGTGATAAAATGTTTCTAATGTTCCAGACCATTACATCTCAAACTGCACAGCACAAATTAGATAGATAGAAGTTGTGTAGGTACACAGATTAGTAGAGACTCTTCTAAAGAATACAATTAATGGCCAGATAGGAAATACGAGATGGTAGGAAAGGCAGCTTTGGCAGAGGAATGTTATCTCTCACGAAGCCTTGAGAGTTCTTTGAAGAAATCTATGAGTCCAGACAGGGGAGATTTCATGGACTGACACTGTCAAAGGCGTCTGTCCCAGGGCACTGCCCGGCTCCCAGGGGTGCTGGTGGCCATGTTGCTCACAGCTCTTCCCCTGCTGCACAACAGAGCCTGCCTTGCACCCCTCACCCTGTGAGCATTGGCTCCCGAACTGGGAGAGGACTCTGGTTATCCAGGGGGAGGATCCTGCCTGCCACCCCTGTGTGCCCGGTCTGGCACTGCTGCTGCCAGCACACCTGGAAACAGCTGGGCAAGTGGTCCTGTTTGCCCCCCTCGTTCTGGCCAGGAGGTCTCAGACTCATGTTCTAGCAGGTACATCCCATGAGCTCCCTGCCCACCATGGCCTCTGGCCTCACCTTAGCAGAGGCAAACAACAGCTCTTGCTTAGGTTCTCCTTGCCTCCCTGGACAAAGTGATTCCTACCTCCTGTCCTCTCCCAGCCCCTCTGACCCAAGCACTGCCCCCCAGTCCCAGCACACCCATCCATCTCCCCTCATCCATGGGAGCTGTCCTTCCTGCTGTGAGGGGAGAGCATTCCCCTGGCCTTATTACTGTCCCTGCCACTGATGCCTCTTATGGCTCCTTGCCCAGTCCGAGCATTCCTTGTCCCAGTTTCCCATGCTGATCCCACTCTGTGTCAGGATAGGACCTGGAAGGAATCATCCAAGTCCCCTGGTGGCACAGCCCTGCCCCT